GAGACAGAAGGGGGTGATTATTTATTTTAACATCTTATGGGCAAAGCCTCCAAAAAAAAAATATTCCTAGAGCATACCTGGCACCGCTCTAGCCTATAGGCTCCCTCGAGTGGCCGCATCTGAACATTGCAGCATAAATCTCCTATTTTCTGGGGTGTGGTTTTTGGGCTGCATAGCCATGTTCTAGCAGCATTTTCTCCTGGCGTTTTGCCTACATCTGAGGCGGGCATCTTCAGGTGATCCTATATCTACGTATATAAATAAAAATGTAATGTACGTTTGTGAGATTAACTCCAAAACCACTCAATGAATTGACATCAAATTTGGCCACAAGACACCTACTAACCCAAGAAGTGACCATCACTTAAAAAATTGATTTTGTCATTTGGGAGTTGTAGTTGCTGGGATTTATAGTTCACCTACAATCAAAGAGGATTCTGAATTCCACCAGTGATGGAATTGAACCAAACATAGCACACAGGACTCCCATGACCAACATGGGCAATGATGGGCATTGACCTTGATTTTGGGAGTTGTAGTTCATCTACATCCAGAGAGCACTGTGGACTCTACCAATGATGGATCTGGGCCAAACCTGGCACGAATACTCAATATGCACAAATATGAACACAGTTGGAGTTTGTGAAAATAGATCTTGGCATTTGGGAGTTATAGTGTAAGGGATCACGGGTTTAGGGTGCGGGGTCCCTTTTCGAAGAAATCCACAGAATCCAATTGGTTCATGTAAGACACCATTTAATCAAGCTGATCAACATGAGACGGACAGAAGCACTTCTGTTTGTGCTTTCAAAGACTGCCGCGTCCCTCCTCTGTTTCTGCTTACGTTTATATTCAAATAATAGGTCATGGAAAGTACTCTCTTTCCAGCCCCTCTCCCTTGACCTTTCGATGGAAAGTACCTTCTTGTACGTGCAGACCCTGCGCTTAACCACAACCTTTGAACTTAACCACAACACAACTACTTCCTATTTAGGCTTGAACTTTGTATGACCTCTACATGCCGCATCTTGTTTCTTAAAAACATTTTCTTCCGTGTTGCTCCTTTTCTACAGAGAATGGGTATATTTCTCTTTTGCTGTTAATTTCATTCAAAGCCCCTTGCTTAACATTTGCAAATTTCACTCAAAGACCCTTTCAATAGTAGTAGTAGTAGTAGTAGTAGTAGTAGTAATTTATTCTGCAGCAGAAAATTGAAATACACCAAGGGAAAAGTCCCAATAATAATGATAATAATTTATTACCCAGTAGAAAATTGAAATGCAGCCCCTTTTAATGGATGATGCTTCAAAGGCATAATAATAATAATAATAATAATAATAATAATAATAATAATAATAATGGTGGATCGTTTGAGAATATATCACACAGTCCTAGACGCTTGGGAGGTATTCGACTTGTGATTTTGTGATACGAAATCCAGCATATATACCTCGTTTGCTGTGACATATTGGGTTTTTGTGTCAGAAAAATGATAAGAATGGCTGAGAGTCTGGTGCAGGATTTTTGGGTTCTGCTTTTCAAAAATTATCAACTTCATTTTATGGATTTGAATATTTATTTATTTTTATTAATATATTATAATTTACATTTATTATAAGAAAGGAAGAAAAATGATGCAATGCATCAGGTTTTGGGGCTAGAACTCATGAAAGATATGAATGGCTCATCTCTACCTCCATCAAAAAAAAGGTCAAAGCAGGTGTCTGAAAAATCGTACTCATTATTTGTTGTTGGTGATGGTGTTATATTTATTATGTTTACTAGCTTGGGGACTCAGCGGTGCCCGGGTTATTCGAGAAAGGCATTGTGTGCCAAGTTTGGTCTTGATCAGTCATTGGATGAGGGTTGCAGTGGTCTCGGGAAGTGAGTGAAGGAACGTCAAGTCCCATCATCCATGGTCCATCCTCCTCAAAACTGCACCAGGATGTAGATTGGGTCATGGGGGTTCTGTGTTCCAAGTTTGGTCTTGATCAGTCAATGGATGAGGGTCGTAGCGGTCTCGGGAAGTGAGTGAAGGTACGTCAAGTCCCATCATCTGTGGTCCATCCTCCTCGAAACTGCACCAGGTTGTACAGTGGGTCATGGGGGCTCTGTGTGCCAAGTTTGGTTTTGATCAGTCATTGGATGAGGGTCGTAGCGGTCTCCAGAAGTGAGTGTACTTCAAGTTGCATCATCAGTGGTCTGCCCTCCCCCAAACCTCACCAGGATGTAGAGTGGGTCATGGGGGCTCTGTGTGCCAAGTTTGGTCTATATCGGTCTTTGTTGGGGGCCACAGTGGTCTGTGGGAACTGAAGGGTTTGAAAGTACTACATATCCAATAAGCCATTGTCCTTCCTCCCCCAACGCTCACCAGGACGTAAAGTGGGTCATATGGGGCTCTGTGTGCCAAGTTTGGTCTTCATCAGTCATTGGATGAAGGTTGCAGAAGTCTTGGGAAGTGAGTGAAGTAACTTCAAGTCCCGTCATCCACAGTCCATCCTCCTCGAAACTGCACCAGGATGTAAATTGGGTCATGGGGGGGTCTGTGTGCCAAGTTTGGTCTTCATCAGTCATTGGATGAGGGTTGCAGAAGTCCCGGGAAGTGAGTGAAGGTACTTCAAGTCCCATTATTTGTTGTCTGTTCTCCCCCCACACCTCACCAGGATGTAGAGTGGGTCATGGGGGCTCTGTGTGCCACGTTTGGTCTTGATCAGTCATTGAATGAGGGTTGCAGAAGTCCCGGGAAGTGAGTGAAGGTACTTCAAGTCCCATCATCCATGCTCCATCCTCCTCGAAACTGTGCCAGGATGTGGATTGGGTCATGGGGGCTCTGTGTGCCAAGTTTGGTTTTGGTCAGTCATTGATAATATATTTATTATATTGTCATTTATTATAATAATATAATATTATTATATTATGTTACTTCAAATAATTTATTATTTATTTATTTATTACTGCGCTTGTATACCGCCGTTTCTCAGCCTACATTGGCGACTCAACGCGGTTTACAACATTACAATAATCAACAATATTCAAGATAAAAAGCATAAAAAAAGCATAAAAACACATACATAATATACAATATTGGGCCACCAATATCGAACCAATGCATCTCTTAGTTAAAAACGCAGTCCAATTTCATCGTCTGTGATTACCAGTCCTTGATCATCAGATTCATTGCACCGTGTTAACCGAATGCTTGTTCGAACATCCATGTCTTCAGTCTTTTTCGAAACGCCACCAGCGAGGGGGTTGATCTTACCTCTATGGGGAGGGCGTTCCAAAGCCGAGGGGCTACCACAGAAAAGGCCCTGTCTCTCGTCCCCGCCAGCCGCACCTGTGAAGCAGGCGGGATAGAGAGCAGGGCCTCCCCAGAAGATCTTAGGGTCCTGGTGGGCTGATAGGCCGAGATACGTTCGGATAGATAAGTTGGGCCAGAACCGTTTAGGGCTTTAAAGGCCAGCACCAGCACTTTGAATTGGGCCCGGTAGCAAATCGGCAGCCAATGGAGCTGGTACAGCAGAGGAGTTGTATGCTCCCTGCGCCCTGCTCCTGTTAGTAACATGGCTGCCGCCCGTTGGACTAATTGAAGCTTCCGAGCCGTCTTCAAAGGCAACCCCACGTAGAGAGCGTTGCAGTAGTCAAGACGGGATGTAACCAGAGCGTGGACTACCGGGGCCAAGTCAGACTTTCCAAGGTACGGGTGCAGCTGGCGCATGAGTTTTAACTGTGCGAGGTCACCGCCGAAATTTGGGGTTCCAGGCTCAGCAATGAGTCCAGGATCACACCCAAGCTGCGAACCTGCGTCTTCAGGGGGAGTGCGGCCCCATCCAACACAGGCTGTAACCCTATGCCCTGTTCGGCCTTGCGACTGACCAGGAGTACCTCTGTCTTGTCTGGATTCAATTTCAATTTGTTCACCCTCATCCAGACCGTCACAGCGGCCAAGCACCGGTTCAGGACCTCGACAGCCTCCTTAGTAGCAGGTGGAAAGGAGTGACAGAGTTGGACATCATCTGCGTACAGATGACATCGCACTCCGAAACTCCGGATGATCTCGCCCAGCGGCTTCATGTAGATGTTAAACAACATGGGAGACAGTATTGAACCCTGAGGAACCCCACAAGACAAAGGTTGTGGGGTTGAACAGGAGTCTCCCAGTAACACCTTCTGAGACCGACCCTCGAGGAATGAGCGGAGCCACTGCAGAACAGTACCTCCAAGACCCATCCCCGCGAGGCGTCCCAGAAGGATACCGTGGTCGACGGTATCGAAGGCCGCTGAGAGGTCCAGCAGCACCAACATAATAACATAATCTGAAATAATGCACTGAGATAATATTAACACACATAACTATCGTATGTGCATTATATTATTAATAACACTCATTATTAATAATATATTATTAAGTTATTCTTATTAAAACAAATATTATATTATATTTATATTTATAATAAATAATAATATAATAAATGTATTATTATACTATAGTATTATATATTGTTATTTTATATTATTCTAATAATAATATAATAAATATATTATATTATTCTAATAAGAATGTACTAAATATATTTTTATTATTTTATATTTTATTATATTTTATTTTATTTTATTATATATTTTATTTTATTTTATTTTATATTTTATTATATTTTATATTTTATTTTATTTTATATTTTATTATATTATATTATATATTTTATTTTATTACATTATATTATATTATATCTTATTATATTTTATTATATTATATTATATATTTTATTTTATATTTTATTATATTATATTATATTTTATTATATTTTATTATATTTTATTATATTTTATTATATTTTATTTTATTTTATTTTATTTTATTTTATTTTATTTTATTTTATTTCATTTTATTTCCAGAAAAAAACTTGCTGGGCCTGTTTTGTTTCCTTTCTGCTTTGTTGCTATGGAAACGGTTCGCCTTCCGCTTCCGCCTTCCCACAATTCTACGCGAAGGACCCCAGAGATGCGAGCGGAGTACAGTGGATGGCGTTATCGTTTCGCAAGGCAAAGTCCGCTGTGATTGGCTAGCGCCGGTGGGCGGGGCCAAGCGAAGCCGACTTCCGATTGCTGCGGGAGCCCTGAGCGGCGTTTGCGTCCTCCTCGGCTCCTCCCCCAGGTAATAAGGGGTCCCGGCTATTTCCCCCATCACCCCCCTTTTTATCGGTGAAGTTGGTATCGTCCATTCCAGCCTTATCCATTTCCCAATGGGAAAACCAAGGACCAGTCCATTACAACTCGGACAAAGGGGGGTTTATATATGTGTATGGCTATAATAGTAATACACTCTTCCCCCTTTGAAATGTTTAATGGTTTATTCCTCCAGGACAATCCTAGGAGAAGTTGGACGAGTCCATTGAAATCAGGGGGAGGATACTGATTACTTTAAAAGGTGGGCAATGCAGGGCCTTCCAGATCTTCAGGACTTCTGTTCCTATCACTCTTTGCTGTGGCTCACTCTTTGTTATGACTGATGGGAGATGTAGTTCAGTGGCATCTGGGAGGCCAGGTTTAAACCTCCCCAAGTCTAGTGAAAATATATATATTTTAGTTTCTATTCTGGTATATAAATACAGTATTTCTTTGGGAGCTCAAATAGGCTAGCCACAAATGGAATAAACAATGGTGATAATGGTTTAGGTAAAGGTAAAGGTAGTCCCCTGACATTTAGTCCAGTCATGTCTGACTCTGGGGTGTGGTGCTCATCTCCATTTCTAAGCCGAAGAGCCAGCATTGTCCGTAGACACCTCCAAGGTCATGTGGCCGGCATGACTGCATGGAGCGCCGTTACCTTCCCGCTGGAGCGGTACCTATTGATCTGCTCACATTTGCATGTTTTCGAACTGCTAGGTTGGCAAAAGCTAGGGCTGACAGCGGAAGCTCACGCCGCTCCCCGGAATCGAACCTGCGACCTTTTGATCAACAAGCTCATCAGCTCAGTGCTTTAACCCACTGCGCCACCGGGGTTTACAGTATGGAAAATACATCCTGCATTGAAAGGCAGCAGATCACAGGAGCTGTCCTCATAGACCTATCTCATCGGCCTATGAGACTGTGAACCACCGCCTCCTCCTGAGAAAAATGTATAATACCACAAAGGACGACCACCTCACCCGCCTCATAGGAAACCTGCTACAAAACAGGAGCTTTTTTGTTGAGTTCCAGGGCCAGAGAAGCAGAAGAACGGCCTGCCTCAGGGGAGCGTGCTTGCTCCATCCATGTTCAACATCTACACAAATGACCAGCCACTGCCAGAAGGGACAGAGAGTTTCATCTATGCTGATGATCGTGCCATTACTGCTCAAGCAGGAAGCTTTGAGATGGTTGAACAGAAGCTCTCCGAAGCTCTAGGTGCTCTTACTGCCTATTACAGGGAAAACCAGCTGATCCCTAATTCATCTAAAACACAGACATGTACCTTTCACCTTAAGCATCCTGAGTTCTGAGGTTGACCTGGGAAGGAATCCCACTGGAGCATTGCAGCACACCCAAATACCTAGGAGTCACTCTGGACCGTGCTCTGACCTACAAGAAGCACTGCCTGAACATCAAGCAAAAAGTGGGTGCTAGAAACAATATCATACGAAAGCTGACTGGCACAACCTGGGGATCACAACCAGACACAGTGAAGACATCTGCCCTTGCGCTATGCTACTCTGCTGCTGAGTATGCATGCCCAGTGTGGAACACATCTCACCAAGCTAAAACAGTAGATGTGGCTCTGAATGAGACATGCTGCATTATCACGGGGTGTCTGCGCCCTACACCACTGGAGAAATTACACTGTCTAGCCGGTATTGCACCACCTGACATCCGCCGGGAAGTAGCAGCCAATAGTGAAAGGACCAAGGCAGTGACATCTCCAGCTCATCCCTTGTTTGGGTATCAGCCAGCATGCCAATGACTTAAATCAAGAAATAGTTTTCTAAGATCTACAGAGACACTCGCTGAACACCTCAGCAAGCGAGAGTCCAAAAGTGGCAGGCTCAAACCCAGAACCTCAACCAATGGCTGATACCAAATGAGAGACTCCCCCCTGGGCACACAGAAGACTGGGCGACTTGGAAGGCACTGAACAGACTGCGCTCTGGCACCACGAGATGCAGAGCCAACCTTCAGAAATGGGGCAACAAAGTAGAATCCTCGACATGCGAGTGTGGAGAAGAGCAAACCACTGACCACCTGCTGCAATGCAACCTGAGCCCTGCCACATGCACAATGGAGGACCTTCTTGCAGCAACACCAGAAGCACTCCAAGTGGCCAGATACTGGTCAAAGGACATTTCATCAACTACCAACCTTGCAAATTTTGTGTTTTGTCTGTCTGTTTGTTTGTTTTGTTCTGTTAGAAATGTAGTACAATTGACTGGTTGCCCTGACACTACAAATAAATATCCTGCAAGTCATTAAAAGTTGGAGATGAATAATTTAAATATCTTTAAATATTTTTAAATGATTTAAATATATATATATATAGAAAGAATATCTATATCAGTTTGACTATTCATATTGTTTCAAAGTATGCAGAATAAACCCTGCAGGTCATTAAAAAAGCTGGAAATGAGTATTATTGTTATTAATAATAGTAATAACAGCAAATCAATATTATTAATATTATATTATTAATATTATTAAAATAATACACAACGCCACTTTTTAATGACTTTTAAGAATAATAATTATTTACAAATTATTATTATGATGATTATTAATCTGCACATCAGAATAGGGCTAGATTGGATGGCCCCTTGAGGTCTCTTCCAATTTTGGAGTCTGTGATATAAATACTACTACTACTACTACTATTATTATTATTATTATTAATAATAATAATAATAATAATAATAATTCATGTGCACAGCAGAATAGGGCTGGACTGGGTGGCCCTTTGAGGTCTCTTCCAATTTTGGAGTCTATGATATAAATACTAATAATAATAATAATAATAATAATAATAATAATAATAATAATTCATGTGCACAGCAGAATAGGGCTGGGCTGGATGCCCCCTTGAGATCTCTTCCAATTTTGGAGTCTATGATATTAATAATAATAATTATTATTATTATTCATGTGCACAGCAGAATAGGGCTGGGCTGGATGGCCCCTTGAGGTCTCTTCCAATTTTGGAGTCTATGATATAAATAATAATAATAATAATAATAATAATAATAATAATAATAATAATTCATGTGCACAGCAGAATAGGGCTGGGCTGGATGCCCCCTTGAGATCTCTTCCAATTTTGGAGTCTATGATATTAATAATAATAATTATTATTATTCATGTGCACAGCAGAATAGGGCTGGGCTGGATGGCCCCTTGAGGTCTCTTCCAATTTTGGAGTCTATGATATAAATAATAATAATAATAATAATAATAATAATAATAATAATAATAATTCATGTGCACAGCAGAATAGGGCTGGGCTGGATGCCCCCTTGAGATCTCTTCCAATTTTGGAGTCTATGATATTAATAATAATAATTATTATTATTATTCATGTGCACAGCAGAATAGGGCTGGGCTGGATGGCCCCTTGAGGTCTCTTCCAATTTTGGAGTCTATGATATAAATACTACTAATACTAATAATAATAATAATAATAATAATTCATCTGCACAGCAGAATAGGGTGGACTGGATGGCCTCTTGAGGTCTCTTCCAATTTTGGAGCTTATGATATAAATACTACTACTGCTGCTACTAATAAAACTAACAATAATAATAATAATTCATGTGCATAGCAAATAGGGCTGGACTGGATGGCCCTTTGAGGTCTCTTCCAATTGTGGAGTCTATGATGATGATGATGATGATAATTCATGTTCACAGCAGAATAGGGCTGGACTGGATGGCCCCTTGAGGTCTTCCAATTTTGGAGTCTATGATATAAATACTACTACTAATAATAATAATAATAATAATCATAATAATAATAATAATTCATCTGCGCAGCAGAATAGGGTGGACTGGATGGCCCTTTGAGGTCTTCCAATTTTGGAGTCTATGATATATATACTACTACTACTACTAATAATAATAATAATAATAATAATAATAATTCTTGTGCACAGCAGAATAGGGCTGGACTGGGTGGCCCCTTGAGGTCTCTTCCAATATTGGAGTCTGTTATATAAATACTAATACTACTACTAATAATAATAGTTTCTCGGCACAACAGAATGGGGTTGGATTGGATGCCCCTTAGGGGTCCTTTCCAAGTCTAGGCTTCCAAGATCCAATATAGGCTGGATGGCCATCAGTCGGGAGGGCTTTGATTGTGCCCTGTTGCAGTTTGACTTTTGATAAATTGTAAATTTAATTTTTTTTGGGCCTTTTTCATTTTCTCAAGCTGGTGTTGGCATCTCTCTCTAGAAGACCATGCCTGTCCAGCCCTTGCCGAAGGAGATGGAGGTGGAAGGAGATTCGGCCGCAGAGATGAATGGAGAGGAAGAGAGCGAAGCTGACCACAGCGCTAGCCAGTCGGAATCGGAAGAGGAGAGCTCAGGTCAGTCAGTGCCTGGGGTGGAAATATTACACATTTCGCCTTTCGGAACGGTAGGTTCAAAGACCATATACTTTGAGCTTCCTCCATGGCACACTCTACCCCAGTGGTTCTCAACCTTCCTAATGCCACGACCCCTTGATACAGTTGTGCATGTTGCGGTGACCCTCAATCATAACATTATTTTTGTTGGTACTTCATAACTGTAATTTTGCTATTGTTATGAAATGTAATGGAAATATCTGATATGCAGGATGTATTTTCATTACCTGGACTAAATTTGGCACATATACCCAATATACTGGTGGGGTTGTGGGGGGTGATTTTGTCATTTGGGAGTTGTAGTTGCTGGGATGTATAGTTCACCTACAATCAAAGAGCATTCTGAACCCCACCAACGATGGAATTGAACCAAATTTGTCACACAGAACTCCCATGACTAACAGAAATACTGGAAGGGTTTGGTGGGCACTGACCTTGAGTTTGGGAGCTGTAGTTCACCTGTCATGACCCACAGAACACAGAATGTCTTAAACAGCAGTTGAGGTGCAGAATAGTAGTATTTTAATGCAAAACAAACTTAATAAGGCACTTTAAAAGTCAGTGCAAACAGTTCAAAGGATGTTTTCAAACAGGAACACAAAATGCTAGATAAGCAGGCTTGAATTGCAGCCAAGAAATAACAAGAGATACGATGAACTAGGAGCAGAATACAAAACAAAACAGTCTTTAAGGGTTGCAAGGCATGGAGCAAAATCCGGTAGGCAAACGCGTAGTCAGTCAGTTCCAAGGGTCAAGAAGCCAGATGTACACTCACGAGCGAAGGTTCCAAGGTCCGGAGCACGGCAGGGAAAACAGGATACTGGGAATCCAAAACAAGATTAGGCAGAGAACAACACGAAACAACACTTTGTCGTCTGCAAAGGAATAGGTCCCAGAGTGCTCATTTTATTCACTATCAGAAGAATGAGATTCATTGCTTGCATCTGATTCTGCTCCCGCAGCTGAAGCATCTACACCACGCCAAGCCTGCCACCTTTGCTCTAGTGCCTGATCCTGCCAATCAGTACTCTCATTCCCATTATCCCTAAAACCTTCAAAATCATCACTTGATGTTGCTTGATTGCAAATGTCTCTAATGTTCTGAACCAGAGTCCAGTCTACAGCCTCCTCCAACTCATCCTCACTATCACTGGAGTTATCTGCTGTGTCTCTAAGCCTCTTAGACATAGTGTCACTCTCACTGCCAGAATCACTAGCCACTCTCTTCACTCCCCTGTAATCTGCTTCCATAGCCTCCTCTGGCCTGAATCCTGCAAAGTCTTCTTCATCACTGGGAGCCAGAAAGATGTCACGAATGCGTTTCAGCTGGCGCTGATTCTCCTCTGTTTCTGCATCACTCCTTCTTCTTCTACTACTAGTAGTAGGTATGGTGTCAGAATGCTGACTCACAACATCACCTACATTCAGAGAGCACTGTGGACTCAAACAATGATGAATCTGGACCAGACTTAGCATGAATGCTCAACATGCCCAAATGTGAAGACTGGAGGAGTTTGGGAAAAATAGACCTTGACATTTGGGAGTTGTAGTTGCTGGGATTTATAGTTCACCTACAATTTATTTATTTTATTTATTTCAGTTACTTCTACCCCGCCGTTCTCACCCCCGAGTGGGGACTCAGGGTGGCTTACAGACGAGGCACAATACAATGCCTATATCAGTTATACAAACATACATAAAACAATTTAAACAATTAACAGATTAAAAACATCAATACATAGTAAACAATCTCATGCTCAGTGTTCAGAGTTCCGTACATCCATTCCATTCTGTCAATTCCTGTTTATCGTCGGGTCTTTCCTTTAGCTGCCAGAGTGTCCAAAAGCTTGGTCCCATATCCAGGTCTTCAACTTTTTCCTGAACGACAAAAGGGAAGTCGCCGATCTAATCTCCCCAGGGAGTGAGTTCCACAGGTGAGGGGCCACCACCGAGAAGGCCCTGCTCCTCGTCCCCGCCAGCTTCACTTGTGATAGCGGCGGGGTCGAGAGCAGGGCCTCCCCAGAAGCTCTTAAACTCCGAGGTGGGACGTAGAGGGAGATCCGTTCGGACAAATACACTACAATCAGAGCATTCCGAACCCTACCAATGATTGAAACTTCCCACATAGAACCCCCATGACCAACAGACAATACTGTGTTGTTGTAGGTTTTTTTCGGGCTATATGGCCATGTTCTAGAGGCGTTTTCTCCTGATGTTTCGCCTGCATCTATGGCAAGCATCCTCAGAGGTAGTGAGGATGCTTGCCATAGATGCAGGCGAAACGCCAGGAGAAAATGCCTCTAGAACATGGCCATATAGCCCGAAAAAACCTACAACAACCCAGTGATTCCGGCCATGAAAGCCTTCGACAAGACAATACTGTGTTTTCTGATGGTCCTTGGCGACCCCTCTGACACCCCCTCGCAACCCCACGGTAGTCCACGCTCTGGTTACATCCCGGATTGATTACTGCAACGCGCTCTACGTGGGGTTGCCCTTGAAGACTGCCCGGAAGCTTCAGATGGTCCAGCGCTCGGCGGCCAGGTTGCTAACGGGAGCGGCACTCAGGGAGCATACCACTCCTCTGCTGAACCAGCTCCACTGGCTGCCAATCCGCTACCGGGCACAATTCAAGGTGCTGGCTTTAGCCTATAAAGCCCTAAACGGTTCTGGCCCCGCTTACCTCTCCGAACGCATCTCCACCTATGAACCGACTAGAACATTAAGATCGTCTGGGGAGGCCCTGCTCTCGATCCCGCCTGCGTCACAGGCGCTTGGCGGGGACGAGAGACAGGGCCTTCTCAGTGGTGGCCCCTCGGCTATGGAATGCCCTACCGGCAGACATCAGACAGGCACCTTCGCTGCTGACGTTTCGGAGAATGGTTAAGACCTGGCTTTATGAACAAGCGTTTGGTTAAGCAGTGCAACCAATCATAGGAAGACGGTAAATGGAACATAGGAATGGCACAAGGATTATGAGAACGGATCTGATTTCAACTGAGGCGTTATGTTATGTCTGTTTTGTTGATCTGTCTTGTTGATTGTTAACTGTTGTGGATTGATGCTGTTGATCCTGTTTGTTGCATTGTTATGTTTTAATTGCACTGACACTGTTTGATAATTGTACCATGTAAACCGCATTGAGTCGCCTGTTAAGGGCTGAAAAATGCGGTATAGAAATAAAGCAAATAAATAAATAAATAAATAAACCCCCACAGGGGTCCCGACCCCCAGGTTGAGAAACACTGCTCTACCCATTGACTTGCATTGCTTTGCCCTTTGCAGAGATGGATGAGGAAGACTGCGAGCGGCGGCGCTTGGAGTGCCTCGAAGAAATGCTGGACCTGGAGAAGCAGTTTTCGCAGCTCAAAGAAGTGTAAGTTGCCGGCCACTTCACCCCCTTTGTTTTGACCCTCCCTTTCTCTCCCCGTGGCATTATTACAATACATATGGATCTGGGATTCATTGTCCAACGCAGGCTTTTCAAGGAGCGCCTGAGCCAAGCAAAGGCGAAGCTGGAGGACGTGATGTCCGGGAAAGCGGCCGAGTACCTGGACCCTTTGGGGGTCTTGCAGAACCACATGCAGATTCGGATCGAAGTGGCCGGTAAGGGACAACAAGGGTCCGTTGTGACATTTGCAAATGGGTCTGCTGTTCTTATCTCGAAAACAAAACTAATGTGTCTGAACTCAATACACCCAAATATGAACACTGGTGGAGTTTGGGGGAAATAGAATCTTGACACTTGGGAGTTGTACTTGCTGGGATTTATAGTTCACCTACAATTACAGAGCATTCTGAACCCCACCAACGATAGACTTGGTCCAAACCTCCCACACAGAACCCCCATGTGGGCCACAGCAACGCGTGGCAGGGGACAGCTAGTCTAGAATAATTATTTATTTATTATTTATTATTTACCTTACTTATATACCGCTGTTCTCAGCCCGAAGGCGACTCACAGCGGTTCACAACAAATACAAACAGCAAAAATTCAGTGCTACAGTATAGAAACAGTTAACAACCTAACACATTACACAATTAATAAACAGTTACTACAATACCCATTCACTGTCGTCTCGTCATCAAAAACATGTTCCAGATTCGTCATCCATTGTTCCATTCCAGTGTTTATTAACCAATCATTGCACTAATTATTGGAACGCCTGCTCAAACAGCCAGGTCTTCACTTTTTTGCGGAATACCATTAGAGATGGTGCTAGTCTAATGTCTAATATAAACAATGATGATGATGATGATAAAGATGGTGCTAGCCTAATGTCCGTGGGAAGGGCGTTCCACAGCCGAGGAGCCACCACCAAGAAGGCCCTATCTCTCGTCCCCGCCAGCCGTGCTTGAGAAGCAGGCGGGATCGAGAGCAGGGCCTCCCCGGAAGATCTCAAAGTCCTGGTGGGTTCATAGGCAGAGATGCGGTCGGATAGGTAGCTTGGGCCGGAACCGTTTAGGGCTTTAAAGGCCAACGCCAGCACTTTGAATTGAGCCCGGTAGCAGATCGGTAGCCAGTGGAGCTGGTGCAGCAGAGGAGTTGTATGCTCCCTGCGCTCCGCTCCTGTTAGTATCATGGCTGCCGAGCGTTGGACTAGTTGGAGCTTCCGAGCAGTCTTCAAAGGCAACCCCACGTAGAGAGCGTTGCAGTAGTCTAACGGGATGTAACCAGAGCGTCGACTACCGTGGCCAAGTCAGACTTCCCAAGGTACGGGCGCAGCTGGCGCACAAGTTTTAACTGTGCAAATGCTCCCCTGGTCACCGCCGAAACCTGGGGTTCCAGGCTCAGCGATGAGTCCAGGATCACACCCAAGCTGCGAACCTGCGTCTTCAGGGGGAGTGCGACCCCATCCAATACAGGCTGTAACCCTATACCCTGTTCGGCCTTGCGACTGACCAGGAGTACCTCTGTCTTGTCTGGATTCAATTTCAATTTGTTCGCCCTCATCCAGACCGTCACAGCGGCCAAGCACCGGTTCAGGACCTGGACAGCCTCCTTAGTAGCAGGTGGAAAGGAGTGACAGAGTTGGACATCATCCGCGTACAGATGACACCGTACCCCGCAACTCCGGATGATCTCCCCCAGCGGCTTCATGTAGATGTTAAACAACATGGGAGACAATATTGAGCCCTGAGGAACCCCACAAGAATGGTTGTGGGGTTGAACAGGTGTCCCCCAACAACACCTTCTGAGATCGACCCTCCAGGAATGACCGGAGCCACTGCAAAACAGTACCTCCAAGACCCATCCCTGCGAGGCGTCCCAGAAGGATACTGTGGTCGACGGTATCGAAGGCCGCTGAGAGGTCCAGCAGCACCAACAGGGACACACTCCCCCTGTCGAGCTCCCGGCGCAGATCATCCACTAAGGCGACCAAGGCTGTCTCGGTACCATGTCCCGGCCTAAAGCCAGACTGTGCCGGGTCTAGATAATCCGTGTCTACCAAGAATACCTGGAGTTGTGAGGCCACCACACGTTCCAAGACTTTGCCCAAGAAGGGGAGATTGGAAACTGGCCGATAGTTGTCGAATTGAGTGGGGTCCAGTGATGGTTTCTTCAACAGCGGTTTTATTATAGCTTGTTTTAAGCTCGCTGGAATCTTGCCTTCCCGAAGGGAAGCATTAACCACCACCTTAACCCACTTAGCCAATCCCCCTCTGGCCTCCTTTAGAAGCCAGGATAATAATAATAATAATAATAATAATAATAATAATAATAATAACAACAATAATATAGAATAACAATAATAATAATATATAATAATAATAAAGAAAAATATTAATATTACAATATAGAACTCTACAAATGCACGGGGTTGCTATGAATCATTAGGTGAAGGCACACATCACACCCAGAGGTTTTTAATGTATATTTGTATATATATTTTTAAAAACTTGTGTACACCTATCCCATTTAAATGTGACGATTTCAACTTCTTTCAAAAGTTTTAGAATTTCTTCCTTTGATCACTTTGGGTCTCACTCCAAGTGTCACAAGAAATGAAGTCTATTATATCAGGTGCATAAAAGGGTTCCACTGCAATCTCCAATGCCTTTGTCTTCCCGCAGGGATCTACCGGGGTTTCTGCCTGGAAGTGATCCACCACAGACATCAATGTGAAGCTCAGGGAGCGCAGCAACACTTGGAGGTGAGATTTCCCCAGATCTTTTATCTATATATTCCCATGGCTTGCTTTCTGATGCCTTTGAGACTAGTACTCAATGGAGCCATGGGTTCCAATGACAGGAAAGGAGATTCCACCTGAACATTATTATTTATACATCCAATATTATTATTAAAATATGTGTCCAATATTATTATTGAAATATGTGTCCAATATTATTATTAAAATATGCATCCAATATTATTATTAAAATATGTGTCCAATATTATTATTAAAATATGTGTCCAATATTATTATTAAAATATATGTCCAATATTATTATTAAAATATGTGTCCAAATATTATTATTAAAATATGTGTCCAATATTATTATTAAAATATACATCCAATATTATTATTAAAATATGTGTCCAAATATTATTATTAAAATATGTGTCCAATATTATTATTAAAATATGTGTCCAATATTATTATTATTATTATATTATTATTATTATTATTAAAATATGTGTCCAATATTATTATTAAAATATGTGTCCAATATTATTATTGAAATATGTCCATATTATTATTAAAATATGTGTCCAATATTATTATTAAAATATGTGTCCAATATTATTATTAAAATATGTGTCCAATATTATTATTAAAATATGTGTCCAATATTATTATTAAAATATGTGTCCAATATTATTATTAAAATATGTGTCCAATATTATTATTGAAATATGTCCAAATATTATTATTAAAATATGTGTCCAATATTATTATTAAAATATGTGTCCAATATTATTATTGAAATATGTCCCTATTATTATTAATGAAATATGTGTCCAATATTATTATTGAAATATGTGTCTATTATTATTATTATTATTATTATTAAAATATGTGTCCAATATTATTATTAAAATATGTGTCCAATATTATTATTAAAATATGTGTCCAATATTATTATTAAAATATGTGTCCAATATTATTATTAAAATATGTGTCCAATATTATTATTAAAATATGTGTCCAATATTATTATTAAAATATGCATCCAATATTATTATTAAAATATGTGTCCAATATTATTATTGAAATATGTGCCCAAATATTATTATTAAAATATGTCCAAATATTATTATTAAAATATGTGTCCAATATTATTATTAAAATATGTGTCCAATATTATTATTAAAATATGTGTCCAATATTATTATTAAAATATGCATCCAATATTATTATTAAAATATGTGTCCAATATTATTATTAAAATATGTGTCCAATATTATTATTAAAATATGTGTCCAATATTATTATTAAAATATGTGTCCAATATTATTATTAAAATATGTGTCCAATATTATTATTAAAATATGTGTCCAAATATTATTATTAAAATATGTGTCCAATATTATTATTAAAATATGTGTCCAATATTATTATTGAAATATGTCCAAATATTATTATTAAAATATGTGTCCAATATTATTATTAAAATATGTGTCCAATATTATTATTAAAATATGTGTCCAATATTATTATTAAAATATGTCCAAATATTATTATTGAAATATGTGTCCAATATTATTATTGAAATATGTGTCCAAATATTATTATTAAAATTTATGCATCCAATATTATTATTAAAATATGTGTCCAATATTATTATTAAAATATGTGTCCAAATATTATTATTAAAATATGTGTCCAATTCTGAGCACCACAATTGAAGAGAGATATTAACAAGCTGGAATGTGTCCAGAGGAGGACGACTCAAAGGATCAAGGGTCTGGAGAACAAGTCCTATGAGGAGTGGCTTAAAGAGCTGGACATGTTTAGCCTTCAGAAGAGAAGTCTGAGAGGAGACATGATAGCCATGTATAAATATGTAAGAGGAAGTCATAGGGAGGAGGGAGCGAACTTGTTTTCTGGAGTCTAGGATGCAATGGAACAATGGCCTCAAACTACAAGAGAGGAGATTCCATCTGAACATGATGAAGAACTTCCTGACTGTGAGAGCTGTTTAACAGTGGAACTCTCTGCCTCGGAGTGTGGTGGAGGCTCCTTCTTTGGAGGCTTTGAAACAGAGGCTTGATGGCCATCTGTCGGGGATGCTTTCATTGTGCTTTTCCTGCCTGACAAAATGGGGTTGTGTCGGATGGCTCTTGGAGTTCCCTTCCAACTCTAGGATTCTGTGTAAATGTCATAGTAGAACTTTGTGGGTTGCAATGAATCCGTCCGATCCGCACGTTTTATTGACTGTGGCTCTGCTCTGCTTCCAGAGTGAGAAGCTGCTGCTGTTTGACAGCCTCCAGGAGCGTCTTTTGGAACGGATCCAGCGCTTGGAGGTCGACAGGCACAGCGTGGGCCTCAACTCAGGTCAGTTGGGAAATGCAGTGCCCCAGGAGCAGGGCTGGTGCCCAAAGATCTCCCTCCAAGCCTCCCCATCCCAGTCTCCTTCCACTGTAACTAGATCCCACTGTAACTAGATCCTCCTTCCACTGTAACTAGATCTGGGAACAAGGAATTGGAATGACGCTTCTGTGCTTGAAGAGCTGCTGATGCATATATAGTACACACACACACATATATACATTTACATATAGAGGGAGATAGTATATAGTATCTGAGTGGAAGGACTGGGGAGATATAGATATAGATGACATGTATATGTGTGTGTGTCTGTATGTGTGTAATATATTTATATATATATATATATATGCAGCATATATGTAATATAGTACTTAGGTGGAAGGACTGGGGATGGAGATAGATAGATAGATAGATAGATAGATAGATAGATAGATAGATAGATAGATAGATAGATAGTAGGCCTGGTTGATCAAGAAAAAATTTGGTTCTAAAATCGATTTGTAATTGGGGTGTTTTTTTGTTTCGATTTAAAATAATTACAAAATTTTCCTTTTAAAAAGTTTGATATTTACGAAATTTTGTAAATGTGAAAAATATTACAAAACATTAATGAATCGATTTTTAAGAATAATATTAAAATAATATTAAAAAATATTTTAAAATAGAAAATTAACCAAAAAATGGCCCAAATGTGGACCAAACACAGGCAGGAGACAGCAAATGAGAGCACACAACAACAGAAGAGTCTTTTCTTTTTTAGAATTTTTTTAAGAATAATATTAAAATAATATTAAAAAATAATATTAAAATAATATTAAAAAATATTTAAAAATGGAAAATTAACCAAAAAATTAAGAAACAAATTCACAAAAACCGAAGGAAGTAATGAATCCAAGCAAGGAATATAAGCAGCACTCACAGCAGCAAGGAATGAATCCAAGCAAGGAATGAATCCAATCCAGTTGCTAGCCATTGCCAAGCCAACCTCTTCTCTCTCCCTCGCCCTCTGCAGCAATGAGCTACGGCCGCGCGGAGCCGCTTTGAAAGGGCTCGCCGGCCAATCAAAAACAAACAGCCAAGGAGCACTGCTTGGGAGCGCCGGATTGGCTCCCAGGCACCAGCATCCTCCATCCAATTTACGAAACGGGCGGAAGCTCGTTAAAAGGATGGGGGATGCCGCTTCGTTATTTTAAAACCCTTCCGGGTTTGAAAAAATGTTTTGATATCGCTTCGTAAATGCTAAAAATAACGAATGTTTTATGAATAACGAAATTAACGAACGAAACCGCACAGGCCTAATAGATAGATAGATAGATGGATGGATGGATGGATGGATGGATGGATGGATAGGGTACACATAGATGGGTGGAAGGACTGCGGAGATATATATAGAGAGAGAGACTACTTCGGTGGAACGACTGGGAATATATATAGAGAGAAAGTGTCTATATAGTACTAAAGTAGAGGACTGGGGAGATATAGTATATAGTACTTGGGTGGAAGGACTGGGAATATATATTCTATCTATTCTGTCTCCCATGCTCTTTAACATCTACATGAAACCGCTGGGAGAGGTCATCCGGAGTTTTGGAGTTGGGTGCCATCTCTACGCAGATGACACACAACTCTACTACTCTTTTCCACCCAATTCCAAGGAGGCCTCTCGGGTGCTGGACGAGTGCCTGGCCGCTGTGTCTATCTGGATGAGGAGGAACAAGCTGAAGATCAATCCCGACAAGACAGAGGTCCTCCTGGTCGATCGTAAACCCGACCGGGGTATAGGGTGGCAACCTGTGTTGGACGGGGTTACACTCCCCCTGAAACCACAGGTCCGTAGCTTGGGAGTCCTCCTGGATTCATCGCTCACGCTTGAGGCTCAGGCGTCGGCGGTGGCCGGGAGGGCCTTTGCACAACTGAGACTTGTGCGCCAGCTACGACTGTACCTCGCTAAGGCTGATCTGGCCGGGGTGGTCCACGCCTTAGTCACCTCCAGACTGGATTACTGCAATGCGCTCTACGTGGGGCTGCCCTTGAAAACGGCTCGGAAACTCCAATTGGTCCAACGGGCAGCAGCCAGGATGTTAACTGGGGCCCACTACAGAGAGAGGTCAACCCTCCTGTTTAAGGAGCTCCACTGGCTGCCGTTTATTTTCCGAGCCCAATTTAAGGTGCAGGTGCTTACCTACAAAGCCCTGAACGGTTTGGGACCACCCTACCTGCGTGACCGTATCGTTGTCTACGAACCCACACGTTCACTCCGGTCATCTGGAGAGACCCTGCTCGTGATCCCGCCCGCGTCACAAGCGCGCTTGGTGGGGACACGAGACAGGGCCTTCTCTGTGGTGGCCCCCCGCCTCTGGAATGCCCTCCCGAAAGACCTCAGACAAGCCCCTACATTGGCAGTCTTCAGAAAGAATTTGAAAACCTGACTGTTCCAATGTGCCTTCTCAGACTAGGAACCCCAGTACCAAACCCCAGAAGCACTTTAGTTAGGAACCAAGATCACCGCACACCGCACACCGCACTTATATTATAATCCCATATCCCTCCGACACATCAGCACTTTTAATCCTGTACCCCTACTCTGGCCGGCTCAGTTTTTAATAATGTCTTGTTGTACTGCTATTGTTATTGTTCTTGCTTAACTGTTTTATTTGCTAGGTACTGTATTGTTATATTGTGTGGGCTTCGGCCTGTTGTAAGCCGCATCAAATCCCTTGGGAGATGCTAGCGGGGTACAAATAAAGTAATAATAATAATAATAATAATAATAATATAATATATGGTATATATATAGAGAGAGTATATAGTACTTGAATGGAAGGACTGGGGATAGATAGATAGATAGATGGATGGATAGATAGATAGATAGATAGATAGATACAGAGAGAGAGAGAGAGAGAGAGAGAGTACTTGGGTAGAAGGACTGGAAATATTTACATATAGAGGGAGATAGTATATAGTATCTGAGTGGAAGGACAGGGGAGATATAGATATAGATGACGTATATGTGTGTGTGTCTGTATGTGTGTAATATATTTATAGAGAGAGAGAGAGAGATTTCTTGGGTGGAAGGACTGGAAATGTTTACATATAGAGGGAAATAGTATATAGTACTTGAGTGGAAGGACTGGGGAGATTTATAATACCTGGGTGGAAGGACTGGGGAGATATAGTATATAGTACTTGGAAGGAAAGATTGGCATATATATAGAGAGACAGATTATATAGTACTTGGAAGGAAGGACTGGGGAGATATATATACATATATAGAGAGAGAAAGTACTTGGGTGGAACTACTGGGGAGATAGATAGATAGATAGATAGATAGATAGATATGAATATAGATATATGTGATGTGTATATATATATATATATATATATATATATATATATATATATGGCTTGGGCGGTTTCGTTCGTTAATTTCGTAATTCGTTATTAATTCGTATTTAAATTAGCTTACGATCCAATATTGAGCCATGCAGGAATAGTGTGAGGAGTAATTAAGAATCGAAACAATTTTTCCAATTTTCGTAATTATTTCGTAATTATTTTCGTAATATAATATAATAATATATAATATATAATACAATATATTATAATAATATAATATACAATAATATAATATAATAATATTATAATAATATAATATAATATATAATAATATAATATAATATAGTTGTTGTTTGTTTTATCACACCAGCATATTGCGCAATCACATCCGCCATTAACGAATCAATTCGAAATTTACGAAATTTCGTACATTTTGAACTTTTTTAAAGAAAAAATTCGGAATTCTTTAAAAAAACGAAACGCAATGGACCCCCTAAAAACGAAACGAGTTTAGAAACAAATTTTTCCGTTGTTACCCAAGCCTAATATATATATATATATATATATATATATATATATATATATATAGAGAGAGAGAGAGAGAGAGAGAGAGATAGTATATAGTAGAGAGAGAGAAAGTATATAGTATTTGGGTGGAAGGACTGGGTGTGTATATATATATATATATATATAGAGAGAGAGAGAGAGAGAGAGAGAGAGAGAGAGAGGTAGTATATAGTACTTGAGTAGAAGGACCGGGGAGATATAGTATATAGTACTTGGGTGGAAGGACGGAATCTATATATATAAATCTGTTAGGTTGGTTCAACCGGACACAAAACTCAAAAAAACCCCAACGAAACTTAACCAAAATTGCCATGCCCATAACACAACCCACAAGGTACAAACATATCTACTCAAAATGAAAAACAACACAACAATACACTCACAAAACGGCAAAACAACAAAACTCACAAACCCCCCAACGAAACTTAACCAAAATTCCCATGCCCATAACACAACCCACAAGGTACAAACATATCTACTCAAAATGAAAAACAACACAACAACACACTCACAAAACGGCAAAACAACAAAACTAAAAAAAAACCAACAAAACTTAACCAAAATTCCCATGCCCATAACACAACCCACAAGGTACAAACATATCTACTCAAAATGAAAAACAACACAACAACACACTCACAAAACGGCAAAACAACAAAACTCAAAACCCCCCAACGAAACTTAACCAAAATTCCCATGCCCATAACACAACCCATAAAGTACAAACATATCTACTCAAAATGAAAAACAACACAACAACACACTCACAAAACGGCAAAACAACTGAGCATGCGCATTGGTGCCCAGCCGCAAGTTCCCTGGCGCGCACACAGTTCCCTCTGCGGAAGCCATGCCCACTCCAAGCCCCGCCGCGCCGCTTCCCGCACACACCCCACCCCTGCCGCACGCACACACACAACCCCACGCTCCATCACTCCCCCACCGCACACACACACGCAACCCCACGCTCCATCACTCCCCCCACCGCCACACACACACGCAACCCCACGCTCCATCACTCCCCCCGCTGCCGCACACACACACACAACCTCACGCTCCATCACTCGCCTGCCCCAATCTTACCTCCTTTTACTTCACGCCACCTCCAAACCCCAACCCGCCCCTTCCCGCCCTGTCAAAATCCAGGAAAGACAGGAAGGAAGGAAAGAAGGAAGAAAGAGAAAGGGAGGTAAAGAAAAAGGGGGAAGGAAGGAAAGAGGAAGAAAAGGAAAGAAAAGGAAAGATGGAAGGAAAGAAAAGAGAGACAGCAGAAGAAAAAGAAAAAGGGGGAAGGAAGGAAAGAGGTAGAGAAGGAAGAAATGAGAGACAGAGGGAGGGAAAGAAAAAGGGGGAAGGAAGGAAGGAGAGAAGGAAAGAAAAAAGGGAATGAAGGAAGGAAAGAGGGAGTGAAGGAAGGGGGAAGATGTAGAGAAAGAGGGAGGGAAGGAAAGAAGGAAAGAGAGAAGGAAGAAAAGAGACCAGAAGAGAAAGAAAAAGGGGGAAGAGAGGAAAGAGATAGAGAAGGAAGGAAGGAAAGATGGGAGGGAGGGAAGGAAGGAGGGAAAGAAGGAGAGAAAGAGGGAAGGTTGGCCACAGCAACGCGTGGCGGGTAAAGGTTGTTATTTCTATGATTATTATGATGCTATTCTTCCTCTGAGACCCTTTTAGGGGGAATGGGAGAGGTGTCAGGTCCCAGAGGCAATGCATTGCATTATTGTTATTGTTATGATGGTGGTGAAATAAAAGGAAATAAAAAGTGAAAGAAGGAAGCAAACAGGGAGGGAAGAAAGGCAAAGGAAGAAAGGGGGAGGGAATGAAGGAAAGAGAGAAGGATGAAACCAAGTAGTGAAAGAAGGAAAGAAAAAGAGGTAGAGAAGGAAGAAAGGAGAGAAAGGGGGAGGAAAAGGGGGAAGGAATAGGTAGGTACCTCTCTTTCATAATAGTCCAGATATCTACCTCAACTTTGATAAGTTTTACTATAGGCCACAGCAACGCGTGGCAGGGCACAGCTAGTATATATGTGTGTGTGTGTGTGTGTGTGTGTGTGTGTGTGTGTACACACACACGGTGTATATATATAGTATATATAGAGAGAAAGTATATAGTACTTGAGTAGAAGGACTGGGAAGATATATAGTATATGGGTGGAAGGACTGGGGGAGATATATGTATATACACACACACACACACAGTTCTTGGGTGGAAGAACTGGGAAGACACATACACACATATAGTATATATGTGGTATACATCATATAGTACTTGGGTGGAAGGACTAGATAGATAGATAGATAGATAGATAGATAGATAGATAGATAGATTAATAGTGTCGTGTTTTTGTTATTGTTCTATTGCTTGCTTATTTATTGTTGCATTGTATTGTTGTTTGTTGTGTTTTTGCTAATGATGTACTTTGGGCTCGGCCTCTTGTAAGCCGCACCGAGTCCTGCGGGAGATGGTAGCGGGGTACAAATAAAGGATTATTATTATTATTATTATTATTATTATTATATAGTACTTGGGTGGAAGGACCAGGGTTTTCCTTTGTTCTTTTCTGCCCTAGAATGGTGGGATAACAAGCTTCGGCCGAAGCACAGTTCCAAGGACTGGGATCCCCTCCGGCCTGGAAAGAGGAAGAAACCACCCTTGGTGTCCGATATCCTTTTGCGTGGCTTTTCCTTTCAAATAGGAACCAGCGAGGTTCCCTGATAGCAAATTGGGCGTAGCACTTTTCACTGTTTGTCGTGAAGGATCAAGAAAATATGCTTTGAGTCTCCTTGTGGACAGAAAAAGCAGGATATAAGTAAACATAATAATAATAATAATAATAATAATAATAATAATAATAATAACAACAATAATGTAAAAGGCATGTTGTTGTTGTTGTTATTATTATTATTATTATTATTATTATTATTATTATTAGATACACAACAGCCAGCATAATTATCTTGTTTGCTGTGTACTAATCTTGTTGTATATCTAATAATAATAATAATGTACCTTTTACAGAATGGGGAGACGTTTCCGTTTTTCCTAGAATTTCCCAGCCAGCCCTTTGGCAAAGAAGAACCATTCCCAGCTCTGGGATGAAACAAAACCAACATTATAATTTTTATCTATATTTTTATTATTGTTGTTGTTCTTATCTACATCCTGTCTTTTCCACATTCAATTCAATTGATGACAGTTCAAACAAACCCAGGTAAGAATTCACTCTGCAAAGGTAAAGGGTTTTCTCCTGCTATTAAGTCCAGTTGTGTTCAACACTGGTGGTTGGTGCTGATCTCCATTTCTAAGCCGAAGAGCTGGCGTTGTCCATAGACACCTCCAAGGTCATCTGGCCAGCATGACTGCCTGGAGCGCTGTTACCTTCCCACCGAAGCGGTTCCTATGGATCTACTCACATTTGCATGTTTTCAAACTGCTAGGTTGGCAGAAGCTGGGGCTGACAGCGGGAATTCACCCGCTCCCTAGATTCAAACCTGTGACCTTTCGGTCAGCAAGTTCACCAGCTCAGCAGTTTAACCCACTGCACCATCGAGGGCTCTCGGAAAACCTTTAAACCATCCTAAAAGTTTGAAACCAATGAAAACCAGCTGAGGCAGCAAATAAAAGTCCAGTCTGGTATTCACTGAAAAAATGATTCTCAGAGGCCTCCTATAATAATAGAAAGGGGTTTACCTGCTGTGGGTAGTTGTTGTTATATTAATATAATATAATATAATATAATATAATATAATATAATATAATATAGTTGTTGTTATATCAATATAATATGATATAATATAATCATAGTATGGTTGTTGTTATATCAATGTAATATAATATAATAATAGTATAGTTGTTGTTATATCAATATAATATGATATAATATATTAATAGTTGTTGTTATATCAATATAATATAATATAAGAGTATAGTTGTTATATCAATATAATATGATATCATATAATAATAGTATAGTTGTTATATCAATATAATATAATATAATAATAGTATAGTTGTTGTTATATCAATATAATATAATAATAGTATAGTAGGTAGGTAGTCCCCTGACATTAAGTCCAGTCATGTCTGACTCTGGGGTGTGGTGCTCATCTCCATTTCTAAGCCGAAGAGCCAGCGTTATCCGTAGACACCTCCAAGGTCATGTGGCCGGCATGACTGCATGGAGCGCCGTTACCTTCCCGCCGGAGCAGTACCTATTGATCTACTCACATTTGCATGTTTTCGAACTGCTAGGTTGGCAGAAGCTAGGGTTGACAGCGGAAGCTCACGCCGCTCCCCGGAATCGAACCTGCGACCTTTCGATCAACAAGCTCAGCAGCTCAGTGCTTTAACCCACTGCGCCACCGGGGGCTCCATATAAAATAGTATAGTTGTTGTTATATCAATATAATATAATATATAATAGTATAGTTGTTATATCAATATAATATGATATAATATAATAGTATAGTTGTTATATAATATAATATCATATAAAATAGTATAGTTGTTGTTATATCAATATAATATAATATAATATAATATAATATAATATAATATAATATAATAATAGTATAGTTGTTATATCAATATAATATAATATAATAATAGTATAGTTGTTATATAATATAATATCATATAAAATAGTATAGTTGTTATATCAATATAATATAATATAATAATAGTATAGTTGTTATATCAATATAATATATATAATATAATAGTATAGTTGTTATATAATATAATATCATATAAAATAGTATAGTTGTTGTTATATCAATATAATATAATATAATATAATAGTATAGTTGTTATATCAATATAATATAATATAATAATAGTATAGTTGTTATATAATATAATATCATATAAAATAGTATAGTTGTTGTTATATCAATATAATATAATATAATAATAGTATAGTTGTTATATCAATATAATATGATATAATAATAGTATAGTTGTTGTTATATCAATATAATATAATAGTATTATTTATTATAATAGTAATAAATAATACTAATATAATATTATAATATTATTTATTACTATTATTCTAGTATAATTATTAAACTTTATCCCATAGAGTCTCAGTGCAGCGAACAAGCAAATTATTTATTTATTTATTTATTTATTTATTTTATTTACAGCTTTTCTATTCCGCCCTTCTCACCCCGCAGGGGACTCAGGGCGGATTACAGTGTACACATATATGGCAAACATTCAATGCCAATTTTCGACATACAAACATATACAGACATACACAGAGGCTATTTAACTTTTTCTGGCCACCAGGGGAGCTGTCGCTTTCATCGTCCATCTGCGATGCTGATGAAGCACTTCCGCATTCCCCGCATGCTTCCCCGCTGGAATGCTTTGCTGGAGTCTTCTTTATGGCCTCATAAATCAGTTAATTTAGTCTCCCCACCTGGTAAACATATAAAAATAGATTCTATAGGATCTCTGCAGAAGATACATTCCTTCAAATAATATGGTAGACGAATTGTCAAGTGTTCCCTTAACCTGCCTTCCCTACGTCCGTACATTGTCTACATGTTGCGTGATATCGACATCATGGAGGACTGGACGGCCATCAAAAAGGTGAGTGTTAAAATGGGCTTTGCTTTATGGGATATGGGTGGGGGTCTTTGAGGGTCTGTTGGAGAGCGGGTCTTCATATTCTTAGGTTGTGATTATTTCTGAATTTCCCAGGCAAAAGCTGCTGTGTCCCCACCGAAGCGGAAACTGGAAGGTAAGAATCCTGTTATGTTTGAGAGACAGATGTCCGTGGGTGAATCTCCCCAGCTTCTTATAGATAGACCATGATATTTTGGACTGTAACTCCCAGCAGCCCCAGTTGGCAGAGCTATAAGCGAATGCTGGGAATCGTAGTCCAGCTTGCCATTAGTAGCCCCAACTGAACAGAGCTTGAAAGGTTTGTCTGTTCTTAAGGTGAAAAGCACAGTGTTTCTCAACCTGGGGGTCGGGACCCCTGGGGGGGGTCACAAGGGGGTGTTCAGAGGGGTCGCCAAAGACCACCAGAAAACACAGTACTTTCTGTTGGTTATGGGGGCTCTGTGTGGGAAGTTTGGCCCAATTCTATCGTTGGTGGGGTTCAGAATATTCTCTGATTGTAGGTGAACTATAAATCCCAGCAACTGCCAAATGCCAAGGTCTATTTTCCTCAAACTCCACTAATGTTCACATTTGGGCATATGGAATATTCGTATCAAGTTTGGTTCAGCTCCATCATTGTTTGAGTCCACAGTGCTCTCTGGATGTAGGTGAACTACAACTCCAAAACTCAAGGTCAATGCTCACCAAACCCTTCCAATATTTTCTGTTGGTCGTGGGAGTTTTGTGTGCCAAGCTTGGTTCAATTCCATTGCTGGTGGAGTTCAGAATGTTCTTTGATTGGAGGTGAACTATAAATCCCAGCAACTACAACTCCGAAATGTCAAGGTCTATTTTCCTCAAACTCCACCAATGTTCACATTTGGGCATACTGAATATTGATGCCAAGTTTCAGATCCATCATTGTTTGAGTCCACAGTGCTCTCTGGATGTAGGTGAACTACAACTCCCAAACTCAACGTCAATGCCCACCAAACCCTTCCAGTAATTTCTGTTGGTTGTGGGAGTTCTGTATGCCAAGTTTGGTTCTGGTGGAGTTCAGAATGCTCTTTGATTGGAGGTGAACTATAAATCCCAGCAACTACAACTCCAAAATGTCAAGGTCTATTTTCCCCAAACTCCACCAATGTTCCCATTTGGGAATACTGAATATTCATGCGAAGTTTGGTTCAGATCCATAATTGTTTGAGTCCAAGTGCTCTCTGGATCTAGGTGAACTACTACTCCCAAACTCAATGTCAATGCCCACCAAACCCTTCCAGTATTTTCTGTTAGTCGTGGGAGTTCTGTGTGCCAAGTTTGGTTGATGGAGTTCAGAATGCTCTTTGATTGGAGGTGAACTATAAATCCCAGCAGCTACAACTCCGAAATGTCAAGGTCTATTTTCCTCAAACTCCACCAATGTTCACATTTGGGCATATTGAATATTCATTCCAAGTTTGGTTCAGATCCATCATTGTTTGAGTCCACAGTGCTCTCTGGGTGTAGGTGAACTACAACTCCAAAATTCAAGGTCAATGCCCATCAAACCCTTCCAGTATTTTCTGTTGGTCGTAATAGTTCCATGTGCCACGTTTGGTTCAATTCCATCATTGGTGGGGTTCAGAATGCTCTTTGATTGGAGGTGAACTATAAATCCCAGCAACTACAACTCCGAAATGTCAAGGTCTATTTTCCTCAAACTCCACCAATGTTCAAATTTGGGCATATTGAATATTCATGCCAAGTTTGGCTCAGATCCATCATTGTTTGAGTCCACCGTTTCAAAGCTCCCTTCTTGAGTGGTGATGGCACGATCGTCAGCATAGATGAAACTCTCTATCTCTTCTGGTTTCTGTTCTCTCATGTGTTCCTGACCTTTGGCCACCCCTCCTCTCTCTCTAGACTCCCGCAGCCCCCTTCCCACCGGCCCATGCCTCCCTCCGGGCGCAGTGAAGGTGGAGAAGCTGCCCTCCCCGGCCCTGTTCTCGGCGCACTGCGAAGAGGGATGCCTCTGCTACGAAGGCGAGAACTACGTCAAAGGACAGAACATTGCGTTGCGCGTTGGGGACGAAGCACCCGTCCAGTGAGTTGAGTTTGGCCGGGAGCAACGGATGGCGATATAGTTCCGAATTCCCGCTCAGTCATACTGGCTTTTATAGAATCCTAGAGTTGGAAGGGAACCCCAAAGGCCATCTAGTCCAACCTCCGTCTGCCAGGCAGAAAGACACCACCAAAGCCCTCCCGACAGATGGCCATTCAGATATAGTTCCGAATTCCCACTCAGCCATACTGGCCTTCATAGGATCCTAGAGTTGGAAGGGAACCCCAAAAGCCATCTAGTCCAACCTCCTTCTGCCAGGCAGAAAGAYACCACCAAAGCCCTCCCGACAGATGGYCATTCAGATACAGTTCCGAATTCCCGCTCAGCCATACTGGCCTTCATAGAATCCTAGAGTTGGAAGGGAACCCCAAAGGCCATGTAGTCCAACCTCCTTCTGCCAGGCAGAAAGACACCACCAAAGCCCTCCCGACAGATGGCCATTCAGATATAGTTCCGAATTCCCGCTCAGCCATACTGGCCTTCATAGAATCCTAGAGTTGGAAGGGAACCCCAAAGGCCATGTAGTCCAACCACCTTCTACCAGGCAGAAAGACACCACCAAAGCCCTCAACAACAACAACACTTTACTTTACAACAACAACAACAACCTCCCGACAGATGGCCATTCAGATATAGTTCCGAATTCCCGCTTAGCCATACTGGCCTTCATAGAATCCTAGAGTTGGAAGGGAACCCCAAAGGCCATCTAGTCCAACCTCCTTCTGCCAGGCAGATAGACACCACCAAAGCCCTCCCGACAGATGGCCATTCAGATATAGTTCCGAATTCCCACTCAGCTGAATTCCCAAGTGTTCTTGCCATAAATCAAGGGAACCACTGACCGCATAGGGAAGCTGATGAGGAAACACAACATACAAACTATCTACAGACCCACCAAAAAATCCAACCAATGCTTTCCTTCCTTCTCTACCTCTTTCCCTCCTTCTCTCCTTTCTTCCTTCCCTCTTTCCTTTCCTCCCTCTTTCTCTTCTTCTTTCCCCCCCCCCCTCCCTCTCTTCCTTCCCTTTTTTTCTCTTTCTCTCTTCCTTCCTTCTCTACCTATTTCCTTCCTTCTTCCCTTTTTCTTCCATCCTTCCTTCTCTCCTTCCTTCCTTCTCTTTCCTTCTCTTCCTTCTCTTTCTTCTTTCTTCCCTCCTCTTTCTCTTTTCTTTCTTTTTTCTTTCTACCTTTCTTCCTTCTCTACCTCTTTCCTTCTTCCTTTCTTTGCTTCTCTTCCTTCTCTCTTTCCTTCCTCCCTCTTTCTTCCTTTCCCTCTCCTTCTCCCTCTCCTTCCTTTCTTCCTTCCTTTCTTTTCCTTCCTTCTTCTTCCTTCTCTTCCTCTTTTTCCTTTCCTTCCTCTTTCTCTCCTTTCTTCCTTCTCTTTCCTTCCTTCCTTTGCTTTTTGCTTCAATCCTTACTTCTCTCTTTCCTCCTTTCCTTCCTCCCTCTTTCTCTCCTTCTTTCCTTCCTTCCTCCCTTTTCTTTTCCTTTTCTTTCCTTTTCTCTTTCCTCCTTCTCTACCTCTTTATTCCTTCCTTCCTTTCTTCCTTCCTCCTTCCTCCTCTCCCTTCCTTTTCTTTTCCTCCTTTCTCTTCCTTCTCCTCTCCTCTTTTCTTCTTTACTCTTTACTCTCCTTCTTCTTTCTCCTTCTTCCCTCCTCTTCTCTCCTCTTCCTCCTCCTTCTCTCCTCTCTTTCCCTTTTCTTTCTCTCTTTCTTCCTTCTCTCTTCTTCTTTCCTTCTCCTTTTCTTTTCCTTCTTCCCTCTCTTCCTTCCTTTGCCCTTTGCTTCCATGCTTCCTTCTCTCTTCTTCTTCTTCCCCTCCCTCTTCTCTTCTTCTTTCTTTTTTCTTTCTACCTTTCCTCCTTCTCTACCTCTTTCCTTCCTTCTTCCTTTCCTTCCTCCTTCTTCCTCCTTTCTTCCTGCTCCTTCTCTTTCCTTCTTCTCTCCCTTTTTCTCTTCTTTTTTTTTCTTCTTTTCTTCTCTCTCCTCCTTCCTTTTCCTTTGTCTTTTCTTCTGCTGCCTCTCTTTTCTTCTTTCTTCACTCTCTCTTCTCTTCTTTCTTTCTTTTTCTTCTCCTTTCCTCCTTCTCTACCTCTTTCCTTCCTTCCTTCTTCCTTCATTCTTTGCTTCCATGCTTCCTTGTCTCTTTTCTTCTTTTTTGCCCCTCTTTCTCATCTTTCTTTTTTCTTTCTACCTTTCTTCCTTCTCTACCTCCTTCCTTCTTTCCTTCCTTTGCTCTTTGCTTCCATGCTTCCTTCTCTTTTCTTCTTTCTCTTCTTTCTTTTTCTTTCTACCTTTCTTCCTTCTCTACCTCCTTCCTTCCTTTTTCCTTCCTTTGTTCTTTGCTTCCATGCTTCTCTCTTTTCTTCTTCTTGCCTCCCTCTTTCTCTTCTTCTTTCTTTTTTTCTTTCTCTCTTTTCCTCTCTACCTCTTTCCTTCCTTCACTTCCTACCTTCCTTCACTCTTCTTCCTCTTCCTCCTCTTCCTACCTCTCCTTCCTTCCTTCCTTCTTCCCTCCTCTTTAGCTTTTTGGGGGTTTTAAGTCTTTTCTGCTATTTTTGGGTGGTTTCATGAGTGATGGTCACTCGTTGGTCTGTTAGGGGTATGGTGTCCAAATTTCATGTCAATCTGTCCAGTGGTTTTTGAGTTCTGTTAATCCCACAAACGAACGTTACATTTTTATTTATATAGACTAGCCGTCCCCTGCCACGTGTTTCTGTGGCCAACATGTGTGGGAGGTTTGGCCCAATTCTGTCATGGGTGAGGTTCAGAATGCTCTATGATTGGAGGTGAACTATAAATCCCAGCAACTACAACTCCCAAATGTCAGGATTCTATTTCCCCCAAACTTCACCAGTGTTCACATTTGGGCATATTGAGTATTCGTGTAGAGTTTGGTCCAGATCCATCATTGTTTGAGTCCACAGTGATCTCTGGATGTAGGTGAACTACAACTCCAAAACCAAAGGACACTGCCCAGCAAACCCTTCCAGTATTTTCTGTTGGTCAAGGGAGAACTGTGTGCCAAATTTGGTTCAGTTCCATCGTTGGTGGAGTTCAGAATGCTCCTTGATTGTAGGTGAACTATAAATCCCAGCAAGTACAACTCCCAAATGACAAAATCAATTTTTTTGAGTTAAGGACATACATTGGGTTGTTAGGTGTCTTGTGTCCAAATTTCATGTCAATTCATCCAGTGGTTTTTGAGTTCTGTTAATCCCACAAGGTAACGGCGCTCCATGCAGTCATGCCGGCCACATGACCTTGGAGGTGTCTACAGACAACGCCGGCTCTTCGGCTTAGAAATGGAGATGAACACCACACCCCAGAGTCAGACATGACTGGACTTAATGTCAGGGGACTCCCTTTACCTTACCTAATCCCACAAACGAACGTTACATATTTATTTATATCGATTTCATGGTCTCCTCCAAACCCGTGTCCCCGTTTCCCCTTCAGGGCCGTGATCACCGCCATCAGCACCGGGGAGGTCTGGCTCCGCAGGGAAGACGGCACCAAGACCAAAATCTATGTCTCCCAGCTCCAGAAGGGCAAGTATTCGGTGCACAAGATCTAGCTGCACACACGGCTATGGACTATGTCTCTCGCCACGTCCGGAGAGCAAAACAAGGCCTTTTGCATTGTCCTCAATACGAGATTCGGCTTCTGTTTACGTTTGTCAAGTGTCTCATTCCCCGCTCGGAACGAGGAAGTCAAGGAGCCATTGCTTTTGCAGGCAGGTATTTTTGCCCACGTTCAAAAAAATAAATCTGACGTCAACCACGATCTATTCCATTCCTTTTTGCCATCCAACCCTTCCTTTCTCAAAAATCTGGAGAAGGTGATTTATTTATTTATCGTGTCATCAGCAACCAAACATTTGTATTACATTTTTAACAAAACAAGCAAACAGACAAAACACAAAGTTTGCAAAAGTTGGTAGTGGATTAAATGTCCTTTGACCAATATCTGGCCACTTGGAGTGCTTCTGGTGTTGCCGCAAGAAGGTCCTCCCTTGTGCATGTGGCAGGGCTCAGGTTGCATTGCAGCAGGTGGTCAGTGGTTTGCTCTTCTCCACACTCGCATGTCGAGGATTCCACTTTGTGGCCCCATTTCTTGAAGTTGGCTCTGCATCTCGTGGTGCCCAAGCGCAGTCTGTTCACCACCTTCCAAGTCGCCCAGTTTTCTGTGTGTCTCTCATTTGGTATCAGGCATTGGTTGAGCCTGCCACTTTTGGACTCTCGCTTACTGGAGTGTTCCAGCGAGTGTCTCTGCAGATCTTAGAAAACTATTTCTAGATTGAAGTCGTTGACGTGCTGGCTGATACCCAAACAGGGGATGAGCTGGAGATGTCACTGCCTTGGTCCTTTCACTATTGGCTGCTTCTTCCCGGTGGATGTCAGGTGGTGCAATACCGGCTAAGCAGTGTAATTTCCCGTGCTAATACGGCATGTCTCATTAAGAGCCACATCTACTCTTTTAGTGTGGTGAGATGTGTTCCACACTGGGCATGCATACTCAGCAGCAGAGTAGCATAGCGCAAGGGCAGATGCCTTCACTGTGTCTGGTTGTGATCCCCAGGTTGTGCCAGTCAGCTTTCGTATGATATTAATTCTAGTACTCACTTTTTGCTTGTTCAGGCAGTGCTTCTTGTAGGTCAGAGCACGGTCCAGAGTGACTCTCAGGTATTTGGGTGCGCTGCAATGCTCCAGTGGGATTCCTTCCCAGGTAATAATCCTTAGAGCTCGGATGCTTGTCTGTTCCTGAGATGAAAAGCACATGTCTGTGTTTTAGATGGATTAGGGATCAGCTGGTTTTCCCTGTAAGAAGCAGTAAGAGCGCCTAAAGCTTCGGAGAGCTTCTGTTCAACCATCTCAAAGCTCCCTGCTTGGGTGGTGATGGCACGATCGTTAGCATAGATGAAGCTCTCTGTCCCTTCTGGCAGTAGCTGGTCATTTGTGTAGATGTTGAACATGGATGGAGCGAGCACGCTCCCCTGAGGCAGGCCATTCTTCTGTTTCCGCCATCTGCTTCTCTGGCCCTGGGACTCAACAAAGAAGCTCCTGTTTTGTAGCAGGTTTCCTATGAGGCGGGTGAGGTGGTCGTCCTTTGTGAGATTATACATGTTTCTCAGGAGGAGGCGGTGGTTCACAGTCTCATAGGCTGCTGACAGGTCTATGAAGACGGCTCCTGTGATCTGCTGCCTTTCAAAGCCATCTTCTATGTGCTGAGTCAGGTTCAGCACTTGCAATGTGCAGCTTTTGCCTTTCCTGAAGCCAGCTTGCTTTGAGATCAGACAGGGGTATATTTTTTCCGTAATTCTATACAAAATAAGTCTCTCCAGTGTCACAAAGCGGTTAGATTGCACTTCCTGAGACTTCAAAAGAGGAAGGCGGCCAAGGAAGTTGCCAATCGATTGCAAAAAAATGGTGAGTTGCGTGCAGGTCTTGACCAACAAATACAATGGCAACAATCCCGTCGGGTCTTGGACGGTAAGCAGGGCCAGCCCTGGTTGGTGCTTGGATGGGAGACCAACCAAGAAGAGCCGTTTTGAGTCTCCTTTATGGAAATCCATGCTTTTATTAGTTGTGTGGTTTTTATATTTATGCTAAACGTTTTAATTGTGATTTATGTTGTTGAGGGTATCGAATTGTGCCCAACAACATAAATCACAATTAAAACAATTAGCATAAATATATGTTGTTGGGGGGCATCGAATTGTGCCGGAGCTCCCGGTGGCACAGTAGGTTAAACCCCTGTGCCGGCAGGACTGAAGACCGACAGGTTGCAAGTTCGAACCTGGGGAGACCGCGGATGAGCTCCCTCTGTCAGCTCCAGCTCATCATGTGGGGACATGAGAGAAGCCTCCCACAAGGATGATAAAACATCAAAACATCCGGGCATCCCCTGGGCAACGTGCTTGCAGACGGCCAATTCTCTCACACCAGAAGTGACTTGCAGTTTCTCAAGTCACTCCTCTCTCTCTCTCTCTCTCTCTATATATATATATATATATATATTGAGAACAAAGGTTGCTCCTCAAGAGTAGGAGCTTAAAGAAAAGAACCAATAAACCCCCATTTCAGAAGGTTATGAACAAAGCAATGGGAGAAACGACCATCCCAGAATCATGGAAGGCAGCAACAATCTCCATGATACATAAAGAAAATACAGAAAGTATACACCTTAAAAATGACTAATATGGATTACATTACAAGATATTCTCCAGCATATTGGCTGCTAGACTAAAAGATTTATTAAATTCTAGAAGAGGAGAAGATCAGGTAGGTTTCCTCCCAAAATGTCAATTAAGGGATAATATAAGAATATATTTTGTGCTAAAACACAAAAGAGACATGCACAAGAAGTGGAAAAAGGGAGAAATCACCAAAGAAGAATTCAAACAAATAGCCAACACCTGTAGGGAAAAGGTCCGCAAGGCTAAAGCACAAAACGAGCTCAGGCTTGCCAGGGACATTAAAAACAATAAAAGGGGCTTCTTTTCTTATGTCAGTAGAAAAAGGAAAAACAAGGAGGCGATAGAGCCTCTTCGAGGAGAAGATGGGGCAATGCTGACAGCGGGTAGGGAAAAGGCAGAACTACTTAATGCCTTCTTTGCCTCTGTCTTCTCACATACAACAACAACCACAATAATAATAATAATATACTCAGCCAATTCCAAAGACTACGGGCTCTACCAACCCAACAACAACAACAACAATAATATACTCGGCCAATTCCAAAGACTATGGCCTCTACCAACCCAACAACAACAACAATAATAATAATATACTCAGCCAATTCCAAAGACTACAGGCTCTACCAACCCAACAACAACAACAACAATAATAATAATATACTCGGCCAATTCCAAAGACTACAGGCTCTACCAACCCAACAACAACAACAACAATAATATACTCGGCCAATTCCAAAGACTATGGCCTCTACCAACCCAACAACAACAACAATAATAATAATATACTCGGCCAATTCCAAAGACTACGGGCTCTACCAACCCAACAACAACAACAACAATAATATACTCGGCCAATTCCAAAGACTATGGCCTCTACCAACCCAACAACAACAACAATAATAATATACTCGGCCAATTCCAAAGACTATGGCCTCTACCAACCCAACAACAACAACAACAATAATATACTCGGCCAATTCCAAAGACTATGGCCTCTACCAACCCAACAACAACAACAATAATAATATACTCGGCCAATTCCAAAGACTATGGCCTCTACCAACCCAACAACAACAACAACAATAATATACTCGGCCAATTCCAAAGACTATGGCCTCTACCAACCCAACAACAACAACAATAATAATATACTCGGCCAATTCCAAAGACTACGGGCTCTACCAACCCAACAACAACAACAATAATAATAATATACTCAGCCAATTCCAAGACTACGGGCTCTACCAACCCAACAACAACTACTACTCACATTTCCATGTTTTCAAACTGCTAGGTTGGCAGAAGCTGGGGCTAACAGTGGGAGCTCACCCCGCTCCCCAGATTCGAACCTGCGACCTTTTGGTCAGCAAGTTCAGCAGCTCAGCGGTTTAACCCACTGCACCACCGGGAGAAAAGAGACATTTTTTTCACAAGTAAAAAATCACAGAGGAGAAAAAAGGAGGGACTCAAAGGTAGTGATTTGCAAGTTTAAAGAAGAGCAAGATCAAAGAGAGGTAAAGAGCAATAATTATGACGAAGGCCTTTGATGGGAAAAATATCTCTTTTTTTTGGAGAAGGACAGACTGGAAAAGTTGGCATTTGCAGACAGAATGTTATTTGAATTTAGTTTATTAATTTACTAGCTTCAGGTTATTTGAAAAAGTCTATTAAAGCATAATAATAATAGTAATAATAATAATAATAATAATAATAATAATAATAATACACTTCACCTCAAGCCTCAAGGAGAGGAAGGTAATGTATAATCATTTATAACTAGTTTGGGGACCCAGCATGCCCGGGTTCTTTTGGAAAAGTCCATTTTTAGGGTCCAAAATGCATAAGGTTGTGGGTGAACTATCATGCCAAGTTAACCCCGAAAAACTCCATCAGTATTTAAAGTTGTTTATGTTGGGTAAGTTTGCTCTAGAGTCTAGATGCATCATCAGTGGGGTTCAGTGTGCTCTCTGGGTGCAGGGTGAACTACGACTCCCACTATGGTGAGTCAGTCCCCTCAAACCCCTCCAATAGGTTGAGTTAGTCATGGGGGTTCTGCGTGCCAAGTTTGGCCCAGGTCCCTCATTGGTGGAGGTCTCTGTTTCTCTGGGTGTGGTGAACTATAACTCCCAGAAAGGAAGGTCAGTTTTCCCCAAACCCTTCCAGTAATCAAATGTTGACATATCGGGTATGTGTGCTTAGTTTGGTCCAGACCCATCAGTATTTGGGTTCACAGTGCTCTCTAGATGTGGGTGAACTACAACTCCCACTATGGTGAGTCAGTCCCCTCAAACCCTTCCAGTAGGTTGAGTTAGTCATGGGGGTTCTGTGTGCCAAGTTTGGTCCAGGTCCATCATCAGTAGAGGTCACAATTTCTCTGTTTGTGGGTGAACTATAACTTCCAGAAAGGAAGGTCACCACCCCCACCCCCAATGTGCTGGGCCAAAACCCTTCAAGTAATCAAATTTTGACATATCGGGTATTTGTGCCTAATTTAGCCTAGCACATTGGTGTTTGGGTTCACAGTACTCTCTGGATGTAGGTGAACTACAACTTCCACTATGGTGAGTCAGTCCCCTCAAACCTTTCC